TAGTGAAAATAAACTTAGACGAAAAATGCAGAACAGATACCAAGGCCCAACATATTTTTGTTAACCTATCTACAAATTTCAGGCTTTTTTGTTGTCTATCATTTGCACTGGGCTTGCTACAATTGCTTTCAATCTGTACACTATGGGCCAATGATCAAAGTTTATCTTTGCAGCGTATTGCGCTCAAATGAATGTATACATCACTCCCCTCTCTTTATTTATGGGTTCTCTTTTTCCCTGTTTATTGAAGCGCCACCACGCTCATCTATAACGGTAAATTCAAGTGTGCGAGGATGCGATAGTTATGCTCGAAATGATTGGATAAAGGTGAGTTATAGCTTGGACGATGATATCATAACTTTAAATAGTTAGCAAGACCTTAAAACGGATCATCCATCATACCTCACATTTGAAAAACGTAACACCTCAATTTACTATCTCACCTATTCAGATAACCAAGTATAAATTGAATTGTACCTGAATGTATGCTAGCTGAAGTTAACTTCACCCAATCACTACATGAATGAGATTCGATTATTTGGTTGATTCGTAGCAAAAAAAAAACTACACAACAGAAAGTTGCCCCTCACCTAATTGTTTTCCTAATTAATCGAATTTTATCATTTGGTGATGGAGTAATGCCACATAGAAAGTATTTGACGTGCGAACATCTCATCTCAGGCACTCGCGATGTATATTTTTTATGCATTTCTTTTTCTTTTGGCTTAGTTATTTTCGGTTCAGTTTTCACTTTAATCGATATTTTTAGTTGAGTTATTTAAAAAATATTTTAATATACTGTCAATGAAAATTAAATAAGTTTAAAAAAAACACACTTACATTTATCAAAATTAAAATATTATAAAAAATGAACTTCCACGTTATCTAGTGTGTCTATGTTTTTGTGGTAGAAAGAAAATTTCTGTTACGTTCACGTAAAAAAGTGAGTGAATTCTATTATGAAAGAAAGAGAAAGAAAAAATTAATAGGATCTACTCATATTTATGTGAGTGACAATATCTTTAAAAATATGTTTAAAATAAAAAAATTAGTTAAATGACTGAAATTGTAATATTTAATGGTAAAAAAGTATAAAATTTAATTTATATTGCTTTGTAATTTCTCACGCTTTATTTCATATCCAAGATTCCCATCAAGACATAATTATTGCTTAATGAAGACTAATGAACCCCCTGACACGTGCCATGTTTGCAACCATTTGGAAAACCTGCTTTGAACCATATTCTTATATTTTACTTTTCGGTTTCTTTCCGTTCAGGAACGAAGTATTAGGTCCCGTTTGGATGGGCTTTTTTCTCTTCAGAAGTTGCTTTTTTTATTGAAAAAAGCACTTTTTATTTTTAATTCGTTTGGATGTCTGCTTTTAAAAAAAGCACAAGTCACAAAAAAAAGTCAAAAATCTACTTTTTTCTGAAGCTAAAAATTTTAACTTCTAAAAAAAGCAGAAGCCAAAAGCCAAATATTTTTTTCAAAATCTAAATATTTTTATAAAAATATAAATAACTTTAACTTTTGCAAAAAGAACTTCTAAAATAAGGAAGAGATAAAAGTTACTTTTTTAAAAAGTGCAAACAAACGGGCTCTTAGTGCTCCTCAGTCATCGATAACTTTATTTTCCATTCCTCTCCCTCTTTTTATTCTCATATTCTAGTTTGATTCCTCGCCCTAAACTATACAAATCACATATTTTAAGTCCTCAACTAAACTGTAATGTATCATTTCATTATTCTTTTTGACAAAAAAATAAACAAACATATTCACGTAATATATAGCTGCTGCTATCAAAGGTAATCATTTTGAAGATTATATACTCTAAATTTAACAAAATTCTTTATTATTTCCTTGTTATATATAGGTACTTAATTACTAGTTATAATATGCTTAAGATAAAGACAATAAAATCCCTTCCACGAAAGATTATATTGTTGCTTGCAGATGAGCTTACATAGAATATATATTGAAATTGTATATTCTAATATTATTATCGTTAGGTGAAAGGCCTATCCAATAGAACCCCATATATAATGGCCCGTGAAGAACAAGAAATCAAGTTCTTCTAATCCCCAAACTTAGTAGAAAGCGACGGCTAATCCTAATGTCATTATCAAAATGTTCAAACAAATTGTTAATGGATCAATGAATATAAAAAGGAAGAAAGAAAAAAAGTCATTGTAACTAATCACTAGCATATCTGAGATTCCAACGCTCTGGCCCCTTTAACACGCAGAAACAAACACTACATAAGTTGCTTTCTTTGTTCTCAGTCAAAAGGATCCAGAAGGAGAATTAAATAAAAGAAAGAAACACTACCACGACATAAGGCTGGAAAAGTTATAACAAATGATATTTCCGATTGCAGTTTATCAATCATTTGCCTAGTGAATGTAATTCATATAAGGTGTCTGGTCACAGCCACAAAAAAGCTGGGGCCAAACAACACGCATAAAGTTTATGAACAGTAAATTTGCAAGCAAGCTTATTTTTTTTTTTATTTTAAATTAAATCAATAATAAATACATCTTTATTCTTAATAAATCAAATTTGCATGCAAAATGACAATAGAATTAAAAGGTAAAAAATAAAAACGAAATTTCATAAATTTGAGATTTAGGACCCATTTTGATGAGTTTTTTTTTTTTTTTTAATGAAACACTTATCATAAAAAATCTGTTTCGATGTTTGCTTTTTAAAAAAAGCCTAAGTTATAAAAAAGACAAAAACAATTTTTTTGAAAGTTAAAAATTTTAGCTTAAAAAAAAGTAGAAGTCTAAAGTCAAAATTTTATTACAAAAACCAAATATTTTTTTTAAAAACTATATAATATTATCTTTTATAAAAAATACTTCTAAAATAAATAAAATATAATTTTTTTTTTTTTAAATTCATCCAAAGGAGCTCTTAGAAGAAGAAGTGCCCCTCTTGCGGCTATTCAGATTTTAGACGCAATTTATGAGTAATTAGGACGAATGAAAATTGCAATAGATTTAATTTTAAGCCGTGATAATAAATTTGTTTATAAAAAAGTGCCCCCACATACTTAGCTTTTTCTCGCGCATTACTGGCATTAACGGATAAAAAGTATGGTCATGGATCGGCTTTCACATAACTTTGTTGACTGAAACTATGTTATCACTCTCTGTTTGTTTGTATGTTATTTTCCAATTATGTCACAGTCTCCAGCAGAACCTTTCTATATTTATATCTATCGTTAATTACAGGCTCTTATTTTTTTAGAGGGTATCAGACTTCGATATAATAATCAAGAAGGATCGAAGTTTTTTTTTTTTTTTTTAGTATGATAGCCAAATAAAATAAGAAAAATTCAGTCATTCGGCTTTCCTTTATTTTATTTTTTAAATATAAAGTTAATGAACTTAAATATTTAGAGTTTTGATAGAAAGCTGCGTTGGGGAGTTAGCCCGTAGAGAAATAAATAATAGGAAAAATATATTCTTACGTTGTAGGAGAATATTTTTTTTCTACATATACATTGATTTTCGTATTATTTTTTTATTTTCTTTTATAAATGAGTGAGTCTCACACATGATTATTTCTATAACATGAGCTTCTCTTTTATTACATGAGATTAATAAAGCCCTAAATAATAACATATAACGCCTCTTAGCTTTTTGCAGCTTTTATATATTTATTATTGCTTCTCTTGCTACTCCTCACAAAAGAGAATTAGAGGTAATCATGATGAGGATAGGGTCAAAAGATATTTGGAAGCTCGGAAAAACGTTCAATAGAATCACTGACTAGCACAGTGCAGAGTAACGGGCTTTTTGACCAGAACAGGAAATACCGAAGCAGGTTTTGGAAACAGTGAACGCCGTTAATTACATGCCTAAAATGGTTAATGTCCCACAACCACAGATAAACCTCGGGGATATGGTATCCTACTCCTACAGAATTATTTTAAATACTCTCAATTAATTTCTTGAATAATCCTCCTGCATATTAGTTAAATACTGAATGTTATTTTGTGCTTTTAAAATATTAAATACTTTTTTATGCAATGATATTTTTAAATATTAAGAAGAAGATGCTTTATCAAGAAATAACAAAACTACCTTCTAAATAAGCAAAACACAATTTTGGGTAGTAAATCTATTATTATTATTATTCTTGTAATAGTCATTGATTTTACTTCCATTATGTATTGTAAGATGAATTGGGACAGGATTTGGGGTACAGTACCTGAAGATCTATATCGAGAACCAAAACAAACCTTTCATTTTCGCTTTATTTTGTTTATGAGTGCCATTCCCTTTCTGGTTTTTCCATTTTTAGGCGAGGCATCATTCATTCACTAACCATGTCCATGGACATATACACGATTTAAGATTCTGTGCAGTGGGTGGCCAATTCGGTAACAGCCAAAGCAACCGTAACAGGTTTGACCAGCCACGGTGAGAATGACTGAATTTGAAACTCGCCACGTGAATCACCCAATCACAAGTTCAATTAGCATTTGTTTCATTTTTTTTTTTTTTTTTAAATATTTATTTTTTAAGAGATCTTTTGTCTCACTGGACACATAACCTCACACACGGCGTGAATGTGTGACGTGACGAATGTCAATTAATAGATTAGGAGATAAGATTTAGATTATTATACAACAAAATAGTTAATAGAGAGGTACCATGGGCTTTCCTTATTTTGCGATTCTTGTCTGTTCTCTTCTTTTAAGCCGTGTAAAAAAAAAAAAAACAATATTAAAAGCAGTGAAAGAGAAAAGAGAAGCACCAAGGAAAGACAAAAATATTCCTTTTTTTATTTTAATTTTAAAAATTATCTTCCAACTTTTACTTCATCGTTCATAATTCACTGCCTCAGTAATACAAGATTTATTTTTAGTTTATTTTTGAGGTGTGAGTGTGAGTGTGAGTGTGAGTGACCACATCTTTGAAGCCCTAAGAAAAATAATATTCTATATAGTCTTCTCTGTCCCTACTCGCCGTCTGCGATAAGAGGAAGCCCACCATCACACAAACTCACCAAAAACATAGCTCTGTGCTATAAACACACTCATACAGAGAGAGGGAGAGAGAGAGAGAGAGAGATTTTGTGATTGTTGTGAAATGGATAAAAGCTGTCAATCTTCTGCAGAGTCTACAACTACTAGTGTCACCACATCCTCTGCTACTGGTAGCAACAATACTAGTAGCAGAGAACATTATCTGAGGCACCTCAACAAGCTTTCTCAAAAGATCTCCAAACCCATCATTAAAAAACCAACCTTTGATTCTTCTACTTCTTCTCAAAACCAACAACAACAACAACAACAACAACAACAACCCCAACAAAACAACACCTTCAATAATCAGGGACAAGCACAGGCACAGGCACAGGCACAACAGAACCTGCAGCATCAACCACCTGTGTACAACATCAACAAGAACGACTTCAGAGATGTGGTTCAAAAACTGACGGGCTCACCTGCACACGACCGCATCTCAACACCCCCACCTATTCAACAACCCAAACCACCAAGCTCTCGCCTTCAGCGTATTCGCCCTCCACCGTTACCACAAATTACAAACCGCCCACCCTCGCTTCTCGGCCGTCCTCAACAGCCTCAACCGAACATCAACGTTAACGCCGTTTCCTTCAACAACTTTTCCGGGTTCGGAAGACCGTTATCTCCGCTACCGCCGTTTCCCACCGTCCACGCACCTGCTGAGTCTCCTATCTCCGCATACATGCGTGATCTGCAGAATCTGGTCTCCACCATGGATTCAACCTCGAAGCAGTTTTCGGGTTTTCCCTCCTTAGCTCCTCAAGCTCAGCCTCAGCCTCAGCATCAGCATCAGCCTTCGCCTCCGCCTCCGCCGGAGCAACAGCAGGGGATGGTTCCGTCTCAAACGCCGTCGGTGTTTCAGATGCCTTCTTCGCCGGTCCCTTTTGGATGCTTGAATTCGCCGCTATCGTCTTACCCATTGCTGTCGCCGGGTCTTCTGTTTTCCCCCAATTCGGGTCAATTAGGGTTTCCACAGCTTCCCCCCCTTTCGCCGTCGGTGCCTGTTCCCAGCCCTCGATGGAGAGGCCTTTGAACTTGTTGGTTCGGGTCGGGTGAGGTAAGCATGGTCAGAATCATCAATCATCTAGTTTCGGCTCTCTCAGGTTTTAGGATTTGTTTATTGTGGGTTCTGTTGTTACCTGTACATGGTTTTAGGTGGTGGTGGAGAGAATGGGAATGATAATTTATTCAATTTCTGGTGGTTGGACTCAAACTAGTCCACAGCTGCTTAGTTTATTCTGTAAATGGGGATATCAAAGACATGAGAAAGGAACAATTTTTCATTTGTTTCTGCTTTTTTGGGATATGGGAAGAAGAAGAAGAAGAAGAAGAAGAAGAAGAAGAAGAAAAAGATTAGATGTTATACAAATATAGTGGGATGGATCATGCTGATTTTAATATAAAAACTTTATTGCTTTATACATATCTATTTCTGATGTTCTTTTTCTAATTTACAATTTCATTCGCGTAGTTGTCCTGGTTGTGCTGATATTATCATTTATTCCTTTGCAACTCGTTTTTAACACTTCAATTAGTTAGTTTTAAGATCACGGTCCTTTAACGTTCCTTTTTGAGGAACTGTGACTACCTACTGTTAGGCTTAAAGTGGAACTAGTTGTCTGCTTCAATTATGAATGGTTAGGGATGCGTGTTATTCCAAGGTGTTGTACTCTTGTTGCATTCCTTAATAAAGCCTGGCTTTGGACAGGTTTCGTTGGAGAAACTTTGTTTTATAAGACCTGGTTGGCTGGCTTTTGGATTGATTCTTCTGCTGGTAGCAGCGTCCTAAACATTTAGTTGTACGAGGTTGAAATTTTTCTACTCAACCTTAGCATGTTAGTTTATGTTGTTCCAGAACAGGATAGTGTTTTTGCTTGCAAATGTACCCAAATTTTTTTGTTTCTGGCCTGCAACTTAATGTTGATGCTGATGCAATGGAACGACAAACAACCGCGAGTTAATGTCCCACAATATAACATCAGCATTTAGGATTTTTTGTGCATATCACATAGGCATTGTTTTTTTTTTTAATTTATTCCGCTATATATTCTTGGCGGATGCTTCTCTATTTTGGTTCTTGGTTTGCATTTTGAGGCTTCATATGCTAAGGATATTGGCAGTGATTCTTTGATTTTTTATGTGATTTTATTTTTGGGCTGATCTCAACTAGTTTGGGATAAAGGTTTTGTTGATGTTGATATGTTTATTTTTGGGCTGACGTTGGTTGTGGTTCTTTAAACTTAGTCTCTTGTCTAAAATATTTATATGTTGAAACATTGATTCTATAATTTGATGATGCAGCACGGATGTGGTGTCTGTTGTGGATTGTGGAATTCAAGATAAGTGCTGTTGATAGTACAATATGCTAAAATACTATCTTGTTAGAATACTGTGTCAACTCGAAAGAGTAGGACTTAACTTTAGAGGGATCTTGTTTCATTGCCGTTCCTCCTAGGTGTTCTCAAATCTTTCTCTTCCAATAAGCAAAATATTAAATGATGAATTGGAAAACTAATTGAAGCTAGTGTTGTAGGAAGAATTTATGTTTCTGATTAAACAAAGAGAGGAAATTGCTCTGTTTTCTGTTCCATCTGGCTTATATATCTTGGCCTCAAAACTTTTCCCTTTTCTCCTCCGGAGGGAGGGAACTGGGAGAAGTGATTTATGTGCATTGCTTTCTGGTATTGAGTAGGGATATATGATTGCAGAAAGATCATTACAAAATATCAGGTAATTTTCTGAAGTCTTTGCTCTCTGGAATGCCATTTAGTTCCCATCCTATAAACAAGTTTAAAAGTTCAGTATATGGTGATTTATGAAAACTATTGATTCCTTTAGTTTTGAAAAGTGTTTCTCTCATACCTGTTCAGATATGCAAAGTTGAGCTATGGTTTTAATTTTAAATGCTAGATTCTTGTGACACAAGAACTCTTGATTCCATTAGGGTTAGAATGTGTTTCTCATCCGTGTTCGGATCAACTACCAATCTTTGTGACACATAGGTTAACAACTGGAGAGTAAAATTCTATGCAAATAGTTGGGAGTTAATAAGCCAATTCTTTTTTGGGATGGAATATTTGTATTTATTTTTTTCATGTCTACTTTATCAATTTTTATTCACATTATTAGATTACAATCTCAACCAATAATAGAAGCGGTGGGAGATAGAAAGAGTTGGTTTGTGACTGATCTAATAATGCGGATCGTGAGAAATCGGTATTTTTTTCTTCTCTTAAACTCAATCAAAAATAAAAAATAAAAAATGAAGCAGTGTCTCTTGAGATATATAGTCCCACATTGATTAGATGGGCAACTAATATGGCCTTTATAAGGCCTTGGGCACTCCCACCCCCTGAGCTAGCTTTTGGGGTGGTGTATCCCAAGTTTCTTTACATTAAACCAAAAATGGACCTGTGCAATTTCCACACTTCTAGTCTAAAAGGCTTTTGCGTGAGGCAGCGTGTTGAGATATATAGTCCCACTAGATGGGCAACTAATATGGCCTTTATAAGGCCTTGGCCACTCCCACAGCTTGAGCTAGCTTTTGGGGTGGTGTATCCCAAGGTTCTTTACAGTGTCTCTTGATATTGCTCTCTCAACCTGCCTCCTTATTCCCCTGATTAACACTCGGCTATGATTCATTTCCAAATCGTTATGGTCTTTGCACTTCGAAATCAAAATATAGGCAAGCTGGTTTAGCCACTAGTGATGTAGTCTTATCTGAAATGAAAGTTAACTTCCCCAACTTTATTTTTTCTATGATGACATTTACAAACATTAGGATTACCACGCAATTTAATATGGCTTTTTAACTTGACAATGGAAAAAACGCAACTCAAAGCAATGTTGTTCGTGCCTAATAGGAGACCGCTTGAGTTGAAAAATAACAATACCGGGCAATTTGAATAGTCTAATGATATATTAGACACTTCAAGTTCATTCTCAAAACCGAATTGTTGGTTTGTTTAATTATTTTAGACCAATCAGTACTGGTCAGAATTAATCAAAATCGAGTTGAATTAGCTGGTTTAATAGGTTGAATCAATTAATTGTAAAATTATTATTCGGTGCTTTTTCATGTTTCATAGAAGTTTTTATACATATTATGTCAACTATTTTTATGATTTCGTCAAGTTCCACCAACTGATTTAAAGAGTTAGAGAAGTCTTGCCACTGTATTCTGTAGTCTAGTTTTGACGACATTATTTTCAACTTATTTAAATGTATATTTATCCGAAAGTGGAATTATCATTGTCGATATAATTTTATGATTGAGATTGTGATAAAAATACATACACTTACTGCTCCCTTGACTTTCATTTATTATTTTTAGAGTAAAGTACTATTTTGGATCCTCAATAAATATCGTCATTTAATTCCTTAAGAAAAAAAAGTCGACTTATGATCCCTCTGAAATTCAAAATAAACCCATGTTAGTCCTTTTGAGGAACTGACATGAATCTTCTTTAAATTTGAGAGAAATCACAATTTTGACTAACCGAGTCTATTTTGAATTTGAGAGAAACCACAATTTTGACTAAGTGAATATATTTTGAATTTTAAAAGGACCACAAGTCAACTTTCTATTATAAAGGATTAAAATGAGTCCCATAATTTTTGTTGAGGATCCAATAGATACTATACTTTTATTAATTTCTCTGTTGTGTATTGCTAAATCAATATGATATTTCTCTTGGGAAGGAATTGTTAAATGCTCCAAGACAAATGGTGTGGATGGATCTTACAAGGAAGCAATCCGTGTTTTGGAGGAAGCTAAGGAAATTCTTGTTCCTTGCTTTTTGTTTCATTCCCCCTTGTTAGATTATGAACTATGAAATCATTGTTTGAGTTGTAACTTAAATTTGTTTTGAAGGTAGTGGATTCTTAATTTGGTATTACAACTTCATTGATCAATTGATTAATTTTGGTCATTGTCATCCTTACTAAGACACCAATTTTTGTGATAAATAAATAACAATTTTTGTCCCCTTTAGGGAGATAGTATATGCTAGTTAGGGAAGGGAGATTTGAACCTAGTTCTCCACCTTTGGTAGAAAGGTTACCATTTTAAGCCAATGCACAAGTAATATTTAAGCACAAAATTTAAGTAGTCATGTTGTGTGTTCATGTTTCAAACCAATCGTAGGCACTATTGACTTGCAGAAGCTATAATTTTTTTTTCTAAGTAGTTTTTAGTTTTTGTAAAAGCTTTAATTTGTGCAGCACATTTTTTCTCTTTTGACTGTAGCACAAGAAACTGAAGATCGAGAGAGTGAAGCCTTTCTGTCACTCAATGATTCTATTTATTTTGGGCATTAATGTGGATGAAAGAGCGTCATGCGAATTCTGAATGATGTTTTTTCATTGATTTGGATGGAAGCCTAACCGACGCGCACAATTGTCAATCTTAAAAGGTTTGGTCAATAATTCAAATATCACTCGGTGTTAACTAGGGGCTATGCGCATATGTAAAATTTTCCTTTCCATTTCCTTTGGCGGGATTCCGACCTATTCTTTATAACAAATTTATATTTTACTTTTTGGTGCGTTATAGTTTGGTATTTGAGCGTATTAATATCTCAAAACCTTTCACAATTGAGAAAACTCCTTAACAATTGCTTTCTTCAAGACTATACGTGAGAGATACTTGCATACTTTTTTTTCATTGTAAAATTTCTGCCTGCACTGGAGTTATATGCATTAATGTCAAATTCAATCGGAGGGGATATATTATGACATAAAAAGAATTCAAATGAGATTAGGTTGAAACTGAAATTCAAAAAAAAATAAATTATAATTGAATGATTTTAATCTATGCAAAAGAAAAGTATTATGATGAAATGAAGTAAATTTTTATGTCGCATAACATTATAACTAGCTCAAATCATTATTCAAAGTGTAGAAAAATAGTTAGGGCTTGTGGCATGTAGTACACAAACAATCGTTTCGCTTTCATCGAATATTAGGGCATGTTTGGTGTATAGTATAGGATAAAGCCAGATAGTATAAGACTTGATTGAATTTTAATACTATCCAGTGTTTGACACGATATTGTATAAAATAATATATTGTATAAGATAATATCATCTAGTATTTGGTAATGCACCGTATAATACTATATATGATAAAAATAAATATTTTTAATAAAAATATCCTTTAATAAAGAATTTATATAATTCTTCAAAAAATGTCATATGATATTAATTTTTATAAAAATTTATTGATCAGTGTGTGTCCAAAATATAAATTAATTTTTATAAAAATAAAAATATTCAATATTTTAAAAATTAATAAATTGAAAAATTAATTTTTATTTTAATAGATTAATATTAAAATAATATATTAATTTTTTAGAATTACATTATGTTAATACATCAATCTCTTATCAGGCTTTATCCCTCACCCTTAGGCCCGATTAAGTTATACATCATTTTGATGTATTAAGGGATTATGTTGTATAAGCTTATACTATACGATGATCACATCAAACAACTGAAAATGTCATAACGTATAATATAAGCTTATACTATCATGCTTTATACGTCATACCAAACAGTCCCTTAGCTATTAAAAGTGACTTTAGAAAGCAGGATGCTAAATTGCTACTAAGTTCTAGGACGTAATCTGAGATAAAAACAAAAGGTTCGATGTTTTTTATACGGGGAAGGATTTGTTAATTTTTTTTTTATAAATTACACTAGGTAAAACTGGCCATACACTTTTGATTGAAGTATGACCGGTCATACTTAGTGTAGTTTGTAAGACTTTGTAAACAAAAAGTTTGTAAATATAATTTTTCCCTTTTATATTATAGAAAATAAAATTATCTTCTATACACACACATAAAAATATGTGGGATCCATATGAGGTCATATGAAGAGAAGAAAGAAAAAAATGACCCTCATATTTAATATTTTATGTGTATATAAAAAATAATTTTATCATTAAACCCAAAAACAAATACATCACATGATATTTTAACATATTTAATATGGGTTTCAATTTTCTGATGCGCTAGGAGAAAATTTTCTCATGTTGTAGAAATATCTTATGTGGGGCCCACATCTATTAAAAAAATAAAAAAATAAAAAAAAATATTGCATAAAAATCAAAGGGTCACTAATAAAAAAAAATAACACACCTACGACATGAGAAAATATTTTCCCATTTAATATTATGATAAAGGTTGATATTGAGGTCGGTGAGTCAGGCAGGTTAACAGGGAGCTGTCAAACCCGTACTTGGCTCATCACGCGATTCGGTGGATTACAATCACGCCAAAGAATTTCCTCTAACCAAAACACAAAGGTATAACGTCATGTATCACGCTGTCAAGAGACAACATGTAGAAACCCAGCCGTCCTCCCATGTATGTTCTCAGCGGTGACTGTATTGTGACAAATTTCAACTATAATGACGGTCGACTCTACCTGGAGTTGGACTCAATTATGCTTAAGTAAGGATTATAGGTAAAGTAGCACTTTGGGATATTCATAACATTGATTAAAACCATTTATCACAGAACCGATTAACGATTACCATACGAGGCAAAATTGTTTACTTCTGGATCATTAATTTGTGTTAACTATGGTAGTTGCTACTACAAAAGCAATTGACGGAAAACCCGTCACGGGAAAAGAGAGAAGCATCTATTAATCTGATTTTAGTGTATTAATTAGCAAATCATTCCAAAACAATACAAAGTTAAAAATTATACTTCTAAGAAAAAATTTCTGCAAATGCAGCTCCCAGTGTTCCAGGATGTTAGACCTAAACGATACGTGTAAGAAAGACATGAGGCACATTCTAACCGCCTCGCACAGCAGACCTTCTAACAAAATGAAGCGGAAAATCCTCAGAATATTAAACGAGTAAAGCAATTTCGATCGGGATGAATAATACAGATTTAGAGGTTTCAGTTGGTATACAAATAAGGCGAACATCCTCACTAACTTTTAATCAGCGACATGAAGTTTACTAAAGAAGATAATCTTAAAATTCCAATTCCATATAATAAAACTTCAGAGTCCTCAAGAAAATAGGCAATTTGAAAAACACTTAAAAATGGAAGGACAAACTAAAAGAGCCCAGTACATCCATATTTCATAGCAGACATGAATACCTAAAATCTCAGTACCCAACGAGATTAAGAAGAAGCTCCTTCTCCCTTCAAAAACATATAGTGGAGAAGTTCAACTCTAATTAGCAGTAAAATATATTTACTGCTGTTCATCCGGTTTCGGTGCTGCTTCTTTAATTTCATCTGCTCCATCATCCTGATACCACATCAAAATATAAACCAAAATCAATATATTGATTATGTAAAGAAAATGAAAAAAAGAAGAAGAAGAAGGACGTGAACAAGATTTATGGCAGACTCAAATCAATACCTGCATGTCAGAGGTCCAAAGGGTGAGGTTATCACGAAGAAGTTGCATGATCAAAGTGCTATCCTTGTATGACTCCTCTCCCAGTGTATCCAATTCAGCAATTGCTTCATCAAAAGCCTAGTGAATATCGAAAGGAAAAGATTCTTCATGAGTATGTAATATACCATTACAACAGAACAATTCATATTAAAGTTATGCTCTTGCTACTTGAACTAGAACATTTCGAAACGCAAACTAAAAGAATACATTCCATGGGGACAAATACCCAATGTATCCAATTCAGGTATTCATCTTTTTTGGTTACAAGTACCCAGGGTAAGTAGTCGAATATTCATTAGTTGTTGGCTATATTCACCGGACTTCCAACCATTTATTGCAAAATTAACCGTTTGACAGCGCATTTTAGCTAAAGTACCGATAAGGGCACCAAAGCAAACTCCCTCGAATCCAAGTAATATCACTGTTGCTTCAACATTAACGAAAAGTAATACGGAGTTGCCATAAAGTTATACCAGTTAATAGAGAAAAATAGTTGCAGATTCCACTTCAGAGGGCCTAATTTCTTCATTTTCTCAGCAAACATCCAAAACTTCGATCAAAAAATATAGTTAAAGAAAAACACACAACAGAGGACATTATATTCAGTCTCTATAAATCTAACCTGTTTTGCAAGGTTGCATGCACGATCAGGAGAGTTAAGAATTTCATAGTAAAACACAGAGAAGTTCAGAGCAAGGCCGAGCCTAATTGGATGAGTTGGAGGCAGTTCGGAATTTGCAATGTCCTGCAAAACAAGAGGTATGCGTTCACTCGTCAAAAACGATTGTGAAACGTTGCAATAAAAGGCCACAACGAAAATCTTTCAACTCAAATTGTACAAAACGAAAGACGCACAAATATTTCACATGCAATTGGGGAAAATTAGTGGCCAAAATTCATAATAGCCAAAGGATGAAAAATCAGCATAACAGACGAAGATATTTTTTAAAACAGTAATTGGAACATGAATAACCGCACCACAGAACAGCAGAGAGTAGAGAGTACAATATGAATTAAGATAATCATATAGATTTGATAAACAGAATTACACGAGTTGCATAACAGTAAGTAACGATCGCAAATTTGAAGAATAAACCGAACAGATCTGGATCGCAGAATCATAGAAAACGAGAAAAGCAAAGAAAAACGGTTAACCTGAGCAGATTTGTAAGCGGTGAGGGTGCTCTCTGCGGCCTCCTTACGCTCGGCGCCGGTCTTGAACTCAGCGAGGTACCTATGGTAATCGCCCTTCATCTTGAGGTAGAAGACCTTGGAATCACCAGAGGAAGCGGAAGGGATGAGGCGGGTATCGAGGAGCTTGAGGATGCCGTCGCAGATGTTGGAGAGCTCAGACTCGATCTTGGATCTGTAGTCGCGGATAACAGAGACGTGGTCCTCGTTGCCGCGGCTCTCCTCCTTCTGTTCGATGGAGGAGATGATGCGCCAGGAGGCGCGTCGGGCTCCGATGACGTTCTTATACGCGACGGAGAGGAGATTCCTCTCCTCCACCGTGAGCTCCTCGTTGTCAGCGGCGGCGGAGACCTTCTCCATGAACTCCACCATTTCTTCATAGCGCTCGGCTTGCTCGGCAAGCTTCGCCATGTACACGTTCTCTTCGCGAGGCGTGGGAGCGGCCGCCATTGTCGAATCCTAGAGAGAGAAAGCGAGATCTGATTAGGGATTTGAAGAGGGAGAGAGGGAACGATGAGGATGAGGAAGACGAAGACGAAGATGACGAAAGGGTGAGGGTGGTTTTTTAGGCTACTGCGTCCGATAAATGCGTTTTGGGAAGCGTGGGTGGGGTCGTTTCAGAGATGCAATAAGGACCGTTGGATCAATAATTTAATATTGACAAATTAATTATCAATATATGGAAATTGGAATTTCTTGTTATTGTGATCTAAAAAAAGAAATAGATACAGCTGTCAAACACGGGGTTTTGATACTCTCTGTGTAGTGTGTGGCGGAAAGGTTGCTCTCTCTCTCTCACACACACTTGTAAATCGATATTCTTTTTTATAACCAGGAATAGTATTCGTTTTAGTTGGTTTGAAAAGTTTCAACTTTGAACCAAAAAGGTCACCCCATTCATCAATTCAATTTTGGAAAGGAAAATGAATGGGCTGGGTTGGTTGATAATGGGCCCTTTTCAAGATTGGATTCTACTTGACAATGCTTGGGCCCTTAAAAGTGCTTTTCACTGTAACTTTTCCTCTCCTCTTTTTCTTTCATCGGTCCTCGTTAATCAAGAATTAAAAAAGTGGTAGGTCATACATACTAGGCACTGGTCACTTCTCTACTTCTCATATCCAAAAGTCTGGTAAACCTGCAACCCCGCCCCTAGTTTTTGCTTAATAATGTTAGTTGCGCAAATTACATATAAATATAATGTCATAGTAATTTTTGTTATATAATATGCATATGCTCTACTTGTATTTATTTTAATTGGATGGTTATGGTTAGATTCAAATGCAACCAACCAAATAATAGTTTTTTATTATTAAAGTCTTGACAATTTGTATAAATATAGTTAAGCGCAGAGCGAAAAGTACTATACGATGAGTTATGGTGCTTTATTGTGAGGGTGGAAAGCAAATCAAGTTTTTGACTTTTTGTTGGAGGTTACGTCCTAGAGTTTAATAACAATTTAGTTCAATTAATCACTATTAGAAAAATAAAAACCTATGAGCATTGTTGTTGCATGAAAAAGAAAGGAGGTATGACCTTTTAAGGACGACTTGGCTATGCATGTTTGACGTTTTGCTTTAATTGTAATTCATCCTCCACTCTAATAAATCATTTCTTTCATGCAACTTGACAAAGTTATCGGTAGAGAAGTGAAGTGTCTGAATATATCTTACAAATTGTTAGGTCTTGTTTGGAATGAACACCAATTACTATTTTGGTGGTTGGACAAGGGTGTGGATTATTGATACAAACCTTGGATAATTTCACCCCAGCTTAAGAAATAGGAGAGTTCTTATAAACCCTATATTAGTCACTTATATAATTAATTGGGACTCGAGTCTCATACCTTGTAATTGAATCGTAACAATTATACTGTTATGTTGAATATGGATTGGACTGGTATCACAATATAAGACTCAAGTGTATGAGATAATGCTTATATGGCTTGGTGTGCATGGTTGAATGCAATGTGACTGAAGTTATCTCCTTAGGTACTGTTTATATATTTATAGAAGCCTTGTGATACAATTATCATAGTGATCGTGGCCTTAGTGTAGTTTGGTTATGGGGATGATCATGGAAATCAGAGGCAATATGTCCCCACGACCCAGGTCTATGGGCTTCGACCCAAGCCGAATACACCTTATCTGGGTGGCGGAGTCTAAATTCTCTAAATGGGCCTAAACCCTGAACCTAAACCCAATGGGCCCGTCCGAGTGTATATCCGGAACAGCTCTTTTTGTTACCTCTTATACTAAACTGTTGTTCTATGATTAAGCATGTGCTTAGTTTGGTATTTATCCAACGAAATTCCAGTTCAAACAAGTAAATATGAACTATAAAAATAATGTTTGAATACTTACTTTTAAAATCCAATTTGGCTAAAGAATCTTATTACAGCACAAGAATCTCATACTTTCTTTCACAATCAACATTTGTGTTGAGTATTTCAGTCATATTCTTAACTGTCAATTTTCTAACTCTGCCCTCTAAGTAGAATCTCCCGTCTTGCTCCAAGATTTTCTGGCCGGTTCTTTGTAATAGAATTTTTTATTCACCGAAAAGAAATATAAACTTTAGGGATAGTATCAACTTACACTTATATAAGAATAAAAAATCTTACACTAAATCTTAACTATTGATGCATCTAACGGCAGATATTTATTGAGAATTAATAATTAATTAAAGAGTTAAATCCAATAAATCTTAATCATTAGATGCATAAAAATCAACCATGAAGATATAGTGTAAGACTTGTTATTCTTACAGTAGTATAAGAATATTCTAACCCCAAAACCCTAAACTTTATAATCATTTCAGCAATTACAAGTTTAAAAGTCTCATTATGGTCATAATTATCCAAACTATTAATTTAATCAAAATAACTTTAGATAAACCATCTAAACATAAATCATTTCACTTCGAATCCATTTTTAACTAAAATTAATTTTACAAAATTAGAATAATCAAATCAAGAATGGAAGCGCTCACTCAAATACACACTTAATAATTATTTGCTGTTATCAAAAAAAAAAAAAAAATTATTTGCAAAAATAATTGCTGACAATATGACATTATCAAACACCATCTTCCCCAATAAGAAAAACCAGGAGCTATCAGTCATAGAGAGTAATGCACTTCAATAATAAGTTCTAGGACAAAATAAGGAATATCTATCAGAATATATTTAAATAAAATGTAATTTTGAATTTATAAAAAGAAAATTGTGATTCAACTGGGTTTATTTAAGCCAAGGAAAAAAATGCAGTAACTCCACAACTGCATCAACTGTAAGCAGGGGAACGCTTTATTACGAATTCTCAAACAATACAATCAACAAAAAAGCTAACAGGCAACCAATTGATATGTTAAATTCCTTTCTTTCTTTCATTTTTTTTTTGGTTGGCTACTAGACAAGTTAAACATATATTTATCACCGGGGCTTTGACATGCGATCAGGTTCCCAAAACATTTAAATGCAGCGAATGGTCAAGGAAAACCTTTGTAATTATTCAACTCCCCCCACACTGTCAGCTCAACTTCTTCCCATGACTTTGTTGATCTCAGTTCATCCCATATGCTAAAAATAGCTCCCAAGACATTGTCATCATGCAAAATACAATAGCACCTACAATTGCAAAAGAAAATGAAGAAATCCAATTGAGTTACTTCAACAACTGTTTAGTTTATGAAGGGCGGGGACAAAGGCAAACATCTTTTTCTGCGCAGGCACAAAAGGTTGTATCTTCTAACACTAATGTTTAACTCACAGTAAAGGTAATACTCTTAATAATTGGCCAATTGAAAAGTCTGTAATTCTTGGCCGTACAAAGATCAGTTGATTTTCTGCATCAAGGCAACCCAAATCATTTCATATGCATGTAGAACAAAGTCTTCATTGCTTTTCACAAATCACATGCGATCGACAAATTCACAATTACCAATTTATCAACAAGAACTGGGATGCATTGATCTGCATTTATAGACTACTTTTTGAGTTTCAATTCTGAATTATCTAAATTTTTTTATGAAATATTGTAAAGGCGGCGGTGCAACGTGAAAAATTATTGACATTAATGAAGTACTAAAAATCATCCTGATTGGGCAATGGACATCCATCTTCTCAGCTATGGCTTAGCAACCTTTCCGGAGAGCAAATGACTTCCATTGACTTATAGTTAGATTATTTCATATTTCCAGATAAACCAATACATGCAAATTGAAATACTTCGAGTTGATAAAAAATTAGTTATGCGAGAGAATTATGGAGACAGTTACTTACATAGCAATATATGAAAGTCGGCCAAACTTTTGACCACCCTCTGTTGGCTTTGATATGTTACTAGCAAAAGGAAGTTTGTAGCTTTCTAAAAATCGCTTAAGGAGATTCGAATCACCTCTAAACACATCCAAATAAATTGGTATCAAGTCAAAAATAGGATCACCTGCAAAATAAATGAAAAAAGTCGGCTAAAATAACACCAAAGAGAAATAACATTAGAATACTTTCACGGCAATGTTACTTTTAGAACATATCTCCGCCAAGAGTTTAAGAGGTGCTTTAAATAAAGCAGGAATAGATCCTCTCATGTTAAGTGGTAGCAAGTGGTTCTGATTATTTCTTAAAGTTGGTGCAAATTTGTTGTGAAGAAAATTCGAAACTAGAATATTTTGCTTTTATTTCTCATTTTGTAACCCTTTGTTTAAGCTGACGGAAGCCACACATAGCTGGTGCATTAATACTACAGGTTCATTTAAATAGGCTGAAAACGAGCCAACCCGCGAGCAATTTTCGAGCCAACCCGCGAGCCAATTTTTGAGCCAACTCGCGAGCTATTTCTTCAAGCCAACCCAGGAGCCATATTTTTGAGCCAACCCTAACCCAACTCAGGCCGGGTTGGATTTTCTGTCTCGTTTTTTTTTCGAGCCAACTCTAACCCGACTCGTTTTTTTCGAGTTGTATGCGGTTTAGGTCGGGTCGAGCCAGGTTGGCCCGTTTTGCCAACCCTACTCTCACGGTTGTCAAAACGTAGTGTCGAAACGTAAAAACGGACGTTTCTACATTTTTTTGACCAAAAACGTGTCGAAGCGGAAGTAGAAACGGGATCTGGGTCGAAACGGTTGAAACGTAATGTCAACTCGGTAAACTCGGTTGACTCGGCGAGTTTACCGAGTCGACTCAGTTCTAAAAAAAAAAAAAGAAATCCCTGTCGTCCTTGCTTCTTCACCCAGTTGCATCGTTCTTCTTCTTCGCCCAGTTGCAGCGCTGCAGACATCACCATCTATCTTGTAGTGCTGCACTGTGCTTCTGCTCGTGTTGCTGTGCTTCTGCCTTCAACTCTATCATAGTCACTGCACTTGTTCACAAGCACCCATCTTGTAGCATCCCTTTCAATGGTCCATTAGTTTTTCCTAATCTTGCGCTTAAAAGTATGCCTCTTTCCATCTTTTCGCTTTCACTGCTGTTATTACTTATCCTATATTCTTAGCATTTTCTACCGACATAAATGGTTAGAAAAAAAATTATATTTCATTCTATATACATGTACATGACTATCACCTAATTGAATGCATTTCTTTTTTTCTTTTTTTACTACATGAATGCCTTTCTTAGTTTTTTTACTACTAATTATTACAAATTATAATTGTTAGAATATACTAAAAGGGTTTTATTAGTGTTATGTTACATGATTTAAGTGTTGTTTCCAACACACACACAAAAATGGAGAGAGAAAGTGGAATGATGAAAGAGAAAGAAAAACATGTGGACTCCACCTCTTTAATGTGTGTGTAGGAAAATGATGTTATATCATGTTACATGATAAACATAAAACCCATACTAAAAACATTGGGTGAAAGTTGTTTTATAAATTATATATTATAATACCATTCTATATAATAAAAACATTGTTAGAATATACTAATTATAAATTATAATTCCTTTCTATATATTGGTGTATTTTATATATATATATATATATGGGAAAAATATTTCTCAAGAAGTTTGAGATAAGTTATTTTTGTTCGTAGGGCTTATCGTTTCTCAAGCTGCTTGAGATAATTTTATCTCCGGCAACTAAATCATAACCGTACAAAGATGGATCAATGGTGATAAAGGAAGAGAGAAAAAAAGAGAATCATAACCATTTAAAGGTGAATCAATTAATATAAGGAAATAAATAAACAAAATGACGTAATTTTAGGATGGCCGGAGATAAACTTATCTCAAGTTGCCGGAGAAATATTTTTCCCATATACATATATATATATTATTTTTTTGTTCATAGTAAACTCTTACGTTTTGTTTACGTTTTACGATTTTACGTTTCTACTCACTCCTACCGTTTCTACGTAGACTCTACGTTTTAACAACATTGATCTCTATCTGCATTAATGTTAATTGGACCCCACCTATTTAATACATATAAAGAAAGAAATAGATACAAAAATTTCACATGACCTACTCATGTGAAATTTCAACATGAGAGGATCCATTCCCAAATAAAACGGAGTCAATCATAAATAATTGTTCAATTAATTATAAATAGATTAGACAGACAAATCAGACTAAGGTAAAACAATAACTAATGCATACGAGACAACTTGCTGACAAAGAGACAGACAATCCCAATCGACTGATTCAAAAGGTTACAAAAGAATGAAAAGAAAGTATGAAAACACCATAGAAATTAGAAAGAAAAATATTTTGGGAAAATTATACAAAAGGAATTATTGGTTAAAGTATTTCCAGTTTAAGAACCATTAACCACTTATTTGGTTAATGATGTTGAAAGAGTGGTTAATGAGTAACCACTAATTGGCTTAACAAACTACTGGTTAATTATTCCTAAATTGCCAAGAATATGCATGTCAAGGTCAACAATCACTTCAGATCAAGAATTAAACAAGCAAAATCTTAATGATGATTACTACGCGCAGAACAGCATGCATTAGCCTGAAAACCATAAAAATGGTGCAGGAAGAAAGGAAGCCATAACCACAGGAAAATTAAATAGTACTTGGGGTTAATAACATAGTCGTATTCTTGTTTTTGAGAAAACGCAACATCAGTTCAACTGTACCGATTAATAAATAAATAAAAATTCCAGTAGATATTGAAAGCACTTGATAAATTATGACGACTTATCATAACAACGTTCCAATATAAGTCAATTCTAATAAAAATGAGCATTCTTGCAGAAGTTGGATGAAAATTCTTAGAACGGATGGGAAGGGAGAATTACTGACCTATCGAAATATCACTGAAATCAAGGATGTAGCTTGGACACCAGGATTTCACTTCATCATAGTTACTCACAAAACCATTGTCCACCAGGGCAGTATCTTCTTTATTCCCACTGGAGGTAGAACAAACCATTGATGGTTCCATGTAAATGTTATCATCCATAATGTCAGAGTGTATCCAGGAACAAGGTTTACAAACACCGCTTGCAAAATTCTGAAGTCAATAAAAGTTGCATGGATTTTAGAAAACTAAACTTACTCAAGCATATCCATTAATAAAAAATTATTTCGGAATGTACGAGTTTAGAAGAAACCTCCGTTATATTTAGCAGCTTAGTAAAATCAGGAGGGATATATTCATCAATTTTCTCTATTAGTTTGCCAGGAATTGGATCTCCCCTACAAAATTTTAGTTACAAGCATGAGAGACCATCGTACAAATAAAAAACAGTCAACACAATCATTCATCATAGAAACTAGCATGTTACAGAAGCACATCGGCAGAAGCAACAAACGAAACACAATTATCATGCATGAATAAAGTACAATGAAAAGACAGTTTATGAATAATAGATAAACAGAGCTACTAAAATTGGCAGTTTTTTAAGCTGGAAAAGTCATAAAAATTTAATAAATAGACTCCTTTTGAACTTTAAACTTCAAAGTGCTCAGAAGATCATTAGATTGACAATTGTATGCATAAAAAAGATGGTGTTTTTCCTACTGTGCATTTCTTACATATCATGAAATTCAAACTACTCTTTTAACAAGAAATCAGAGAGCCCTAGAGAAGAAAGTTACCACTTGGTCAAACGGCTTGAGACATCCTTCCTCTTCTTTGTTAAGGTTCTGGTGAAGACTCCCCATTCTGCTGCAGTGTTTGAATTATAATTAACAGTTGCAATACAACCATTGGTCTCAGGCAGGCTAAATTCATGATCAGCATCAGAGAAAGATGAAATATTTAAAGGAGGATGTGGCAAAAGATGAAGGTGGCGCAGCTGCTCCCCCAAGAAGGCGGCCAAGTTTGTTGTATCTTCCCATGATAGTTTGTCTCTTCTGCAAGAGAACGAAAATAAAATCAATAAGATTCAGAAAAGAGAACTATGTTACTTAAAATTAGCAATTTGAAATGCTAATCTGGGTGATGAAATTATTAATAAACCACGAGGCTAAGACTTACAACTCTGCAAACATATTCCCTTCACATCGTTTTGTTATCATATATGGCCATATGCTTGAGTGACCACTAACTGATCCATCGACCAGCATTCCAGCATTCCTATACTCTAACTGTTTCTTGCTCCATACCCCAAATGAGAAACCATCAACATCGCATTTCTTCCTGATAAGATTGCTCTCGGCAATGACATCAGGAACTCCTTTTCCATCCCAAGTTAAATTGGTATAAGATCCATTTTCAAGATAAACAATCCCACTGGCCAAAACATCAGGAATATGTTTCCTGAGAGGGGAGTTGACTTCATGCAGCAGACTGTAAAATTCTAGCTGTAAATTATACAATATTAGAGGTAGATTTGTACAGCAGATGCAATATAAACAAAATGTTGATAAAGTACCTCTGTGCCTAAACCATAAAGTGAAGCTTCCAGTCCTCCTTCGACAAAAATCTTAACAACAGAGTTTCCCACTAGATATACCTATTTAGAGAATGGACAACGTTCCCAGAGTTAGAGAGAGACTTCATACTCCACAAAGTCTATTACTCTATTAGATAATGAAGGATCATACTATAAGCCATTCTCATGCCCAAATTCAACCATAGAACCTAAAGAAACACAGCTAAGTAATTAGATTTCATATTTATAGCAGTGCAAAAACCATGTCACAATATTAATGCTTACTAGAGGGAAGGGAAACACAACAATGATATGAACTTATAAGATAGGGTGAAAAGATCAACAACAACTAAAAACCCATCTAATCTTGAAAGAAACAGGCGCTTCGCATATTGCTGAGGCTAGGCGCAGGATCTTTGCCTCTTTAAGGCACCTTCAACAAGATACTCTTCTCTCAGTTCTCTGATGCTTAGTGGAGCACCTCAAGAGGTGCCAAATGGTGATCCAAGAGTTTATTTCTATTTTTCCTCAGATGGCAGAAAAAATAAAAGGACCTAAACTAAGTACCTTACAGCAGTAAAAATAAAAACAGATATAGTAGTTCATCTTCATCAAAGATCTTCTGGTCCAAAGCCGTGAAAAAAAAGCCCAGAGGTTTTTTTTGTGGGGGGGAGGAGGGGGCGGGGAGCATTGTAATGTGATTTTGTGATGGAATAAAAATACAGAATGAAGCAGTATAAGAGCAGAATCTAGTCCCCAATCTATATGCTGAAGCAGCTGAACTAAAAAAACCAACGCTCAGGGAAACCTTCCCTTTTAACTAGATCAACTTTCTCTCACCATAACTAACTTACCCTCGCTTCACACAGTCAACCCACCTCTTCCCTCCTAAATACATTAGGGCCTTGACTTGAAGTGGTCTTCGAGAATATACTAGTAATGCCTTCTTCTTTGGCTCACTGATCATTCTGAGCCATGGCTCTATCATTTTGTTTCCATGGGTTTCAGTTGAGTGTTACTTTCCAAGTTTTTGGAGAAATGTATATACCAAAGAAATGATAATGGCTGGATGCTGTCCATTGTCCAACATTTGCAAGCTTTTTGTTTGGGATTTTAACCTTAAAAAGAGTTTCAGAAAACAAAAAGAGAGAAGTAAAATCCAGTTTTTGGTTTTCTTACAAGTTTAAAAAAAAAAAAGGAACATCAGCAAATCAAACCAAGTTATTGTAACCACTAGCGAGTTAATGTCTAAATAAGAACAAAACTATTCAAATAAAAATTTTGACACCATCCCACAATGTTTACAAATTATCTTACAACCAACTCCTTTGTGTGATCGATACTAGAAAGGCAAATAAAGATAGAAGAGAAGTTTCCAATTACACTATTGAAATTACCCTAAGATACAATCAAGATATAATGAGATGTTTTAGATCTATTCTAACATCTATCAAAGTTCCTTCCTACAAAGGTAAACTCCTAGTCTCAATGTTATATGACAAGGTACCATGCAGTAAAACTAGTTCGTAGATCCCAACACTATTGCAGGTAGTCTCTAAATACAGGTCCAAAATATTGATAAAGTACAGCAAGGGAGGATATTTCAGGAATCAGCATGAGAACTCATCTCTTAAGAGGGTAAGACTCTTTCAGTAAAGCACCAACACTTCAGCTGAACCAAAAAGTCATTCTGAACGATCCCTCTAACGTCTATTATAATTACAAGGCAATGGCGGGTTATATTCATTTCTTCAAATATTGTTTGGGACACTAAGGACCAAATACTTTCACGGTTTCACAAAAGCCTGAGAAATTTCGATGTATTGCAATCTTCTGGAGAATACAAATAAGTCAAAATTAATAACTTCATATATAAAAACTCACAGGATTGCTACCCGTACCAACAGGAAGCCTTTCATCATCAGTGGGAGGGGGCAAATTGTGGAAGGCACAAATTTTTGATACGCATTCTAACCATTTGCCAGCATTTAGTGCAGCACATGCTCCCTAGACATATATAAACAGAAAAAGGTCATAAAATCAGATAATGTAACTTTGGGAACTCAAAGAATGAATTCATATAAAAAGAAAATAACCTTCCATATTAGCTCTCTCATTTTTGGTTTCTGAATCCAAAGCTTGTATAACCATTCTCTTAGTTCTCGTTGACCAATACTGTTGCCGGAACTCCACAGGGAATTATAGTGGTCTCTATCCTTATCCAAAAACATGGATAAGAAATTTACATCATAGGAAAATCCATCTTTCCATAAATTATAGCTTCTAGATGCACCATTTATGGATCTTTCATAATATAGATCATCTGCATCTTTCAGAGTTTTGGCTCTTTTCCCTTTCCTCGACAAATCGGAGTTGCCTAAGTTTTTTTCATTACATGACATGTTCTGTCTGAGATTTTCATAATTATCTTCATCTAAAGCAAGCAACCCAGCACGGCAAACTCCTTTATGATGATAACCAGGTGCCATATCCAAACATACAAATTCAAAGTTATTGGAATTCACAAAATTCTGTGTGACAGCAATAGTTGTTTCCACATTTAGAACACAGTGCCACCAACCACTTGGAACATAAATTGTCTCTCCAGGTAGTTGTGTACATTCAATTGGCTTGTCTTCATCAGCAAGAAGAGGATAAAAGTCTAGCCACCACTGTAAACAAACAGATATGTGATTAACAGTAACCACATCAACAGATAGACACAATAAAGTTGGCTTGATTATTGATTATAATTATATACCACCAAAATAACGATATATAAATCACTCCAATTGCAACATTGTAGTACCTGCAGTGATGATGGAGTCTCAACATTGACATCACCGTCTTCTTCATTAACATGCACTGTCACACCCAAAGGGACCTTTCCTGGAGGATATAATGCCCACCTATCAAATGCAAGTGAAAGATTGTTTCTTAAACATTAGTTATTTGAAACAGAATTAAGCACTAACACACAAAATCTAACTACCAAATTGCATAAAATTCATGTTCTTTGTTGTGGAATCATTAAGGAACAACTCCAATTAAGTTAAATAATTGAACCAAGCAGTGATCCCTCAAGCCCTCGCCAACTTTGCCGTGATGTTAACTTAATAATCCCCTGATTCCCATGCTAAGAACGATGCCTACCAATTCCCATGAACTATACTACATGCAACACAACCAAAACGGAGAAAAAAATTCCATGTCAATCAGCTTAACTTTTTACCTTTTACGGCCAGAAAGAAGAGTATTCCATGCACTGGTAAGAGCAGGATCAACATGCCAAGAGGCACCAGATCTCTCTGGTCCAATTATAAGCCACCTATAGGATGGTCGTTTATCTGCATCTAAAATCTCAAAGAAGTCTTCTTGAAAAAGATGAGGCACACAATAATCCTTCAATAAGCTAGGTGCAACTTCGCCAAACTGTACGAGGGTTAAATAAAGTTAAAAGAACTCCCAAACTCTCAGATTCGAAGAACAAGAAATCGGGAAGGGATGGTGCAGGGAGGCAGGGCCGAGCATTATTGAAACATGAATATCTCAATACAAGCACCTTTTCATCAAAAATATATAAGGGATCTTCATCATGCTGAACTTTCACGTATGAGACATAATCCTTGAACTTCATGGAGATCTTCCTGGAGCTCCTTTGAGAAATTTTAAATGCTACATCTCCATAGTTTAGCAACAGCTGATCAGTTGTCCATTTATGCCTGGCAGGCCATGTATCAGCCAATCCAGTAAGCATAACCTGAGATGTGTAGTTCATCAAAATTCCATTTCAATCAAAATAAAACCATTAACAATTGCTAATTCAGAATTGATGAGTTCCAAGATACCTAAAACACATAGCATCAACTACAACATGAGTACCATCGTCTGCTAAGGAACCATTTAGTTAAAAAGATACTAATTTCTCATCTCTCATCTTCCACCTTAGCAAGAAAAAAACTGGAGAAAAACAATACCACTACCCAAATGCTACAGAGATTAATTGCAAACATGTATTCAACTATACATATGATGTCAAAAAAACTCTTGTTCCTGTTCTTACAAAAGAAACAACGGAATGAAAGAATTAAAGGATACTTTCATTTTATTGGTAAGAAAGCTCAAAGACAGACACTGGAACAGAACCGTCACGAGGCAAAAAAAATTATGTAGGTTACTGTTAAAAATTCTTTTATCTTTGTACCGGTTTCTTCGCATCATACTCTCTATAGAAGTCCTTCAATGAGATGTCTTTTATTCTTTCCACATTCCCGTTATCTGCATAAAATGCATCCAATGTTGTATGACACCGGTATAATCTCCTGTACAAAAATAAAGAGTTGAACCCTGCAGAAAGGTGAATATCAGTGGTTTATAATCTTCCTTGTAATATTTTAAAAGCATAAAGCTTAAGTTTTCCTAGAATTAGAAGATAGATAAGAACCCTGTAGAATCAGAACCGTTACCATCAAAATATAAAGGTCCTCGATGGTACTCTTTGTATTTGTCCGGCAGATTCTCACTGCATTCAAAATGCCAATTTCAATTACTATAACATCAAATAGAAAACTAAAAGAACTACCAAAAAATGATAATAAATCAATTCCAGAACCAGAAATTGCACATGGGGAGAGACATACTTATGCAGGGCAGTTTTCTTCCAAGAGCCTTTGTATTGAAGCAAACCAGATACTTCTTTTAGACATAGACTCATCCACAGTGGTTCTTCATTGCACAGTATGTACATTACACTGCAAACAAAAAGAAGAAGAAGAAGGAAAACGGAGAAAAGAAAGAAAACTGTTAGTTATGCTATAATAACTAAAGTAATGTTGCTTAACCAATCTTACTCACACAAGAATCGTACAAATAACTACCCGAAGTGAATGATATAATTTATACTATCGCCAAGAAAAAAGCTAGCTGACTAGTGTGAGGAAGTAAAACATCAAAGTACAATTGAATGAAACGATGAAGAACAATCCATCCAGATTCTACATCCTATCAATACTAATTAAGAAGGAAATATGAAACGCAGATAATGAAGGAGCATTACATAGAGAGGAACGAAGAGATGATAGATAATAGCTTTTACCTGCTAACGCAAGCGACGCGAGCAACATCTCGTGGAGTGAGTCGTTCCAAAATTGTGCAGAGGATTTCATCGTGAAGGACACGAAGATCTCCAAGAGCATCTGCCCTGCGATCTCTCTGAGGCTGAGACTCCATCAAACGCCAAATCCAACTTCAACAATTTCAAACTCGGAAACAGGAATTAACGACCTTTCTTCTCTTCGCTGCTGCGCTTCGCATAGGTAAACCGCGTGCTTTAAAAGCGCTTCCTTACCGCGTGCGCGGTTTTCGTTATTCTTACGCCACCCTCGCCTCAACTCGCCCTTATCCTATCTTTTTTTTTAACAGCGATCAAAATGTCATTATTTCCTAACTTTTTACTCTAAATGTTATGTTAGTGTTATTGGTCAATACGACAAGTGGACAAGTTTGTTATTTTATGCAGTAAATTTAGTTGCAATTAATGCACTTGTATTTTGTCACCTGACACGCCACATGTTATCGTGATTGAGTTCGCTATAATACCAACAAACTTGTCCATGTAATATATTAAAAATTAATACTGTTAGCTTGCATTTAAAAAAAAAAAAATTGAAGAACAGTCACACTTTGGTCACAGTTCTTTTTTTTTTTTTTTTCATCCTCATCCCAAAAATTACCGCCGCATGTGTTTTTTGACAGCGGGTATCACACTTTTTTTAAGTTTCAAGAAATAAATTTACTTTTAAAATTCATTTTAAACATAAATTATTTTTTAAAACGTCAATTCTACAAAAATCTAAATCAAATTGAAATATTATTTTTGAATAGGAATCTTAATCGACTCGCACGAATATTTTGGATATCTTGGATTAAAAATTACAGCGTCCAAACACATTTTTTACCAAGTTGTCGTTGGTCAATATTAATTTTCAGGAGCATTATTAAATTGGAGACTTAAAGAAAAATGAAAATGGATCCTCTCACGTGGGATCCACTCCCAAGAAAAATAGACTGTTTACGACTCGATATCGAGATGCTAGATTGTTTCTTACCAAATAACTCGATGAAAGTTCATAAGGTCGAAAAAAAAAAGTACCAGCATTGATGTTTAGTAGCGTCACGTCTAAAAAATAGGGGAAAATCCACTGTAAAATTTGTACCAGGAATTAATGCTGGCCGTTAGTAGAATCTAATAACTCGAATTCGAGCTTGACTGCCTAAACTATGGTGTGTCTAAAGAAGCAAATTCTTATACAGACAGGCTCGTGAATCACCTTCTCACTCGGCGTTTTGTTAGATCACAAGTTCTTTGATTCTCTTTCTTCTGGACTTATTGTTTGAGCTTGTTTCTTGTTCTGATGGGCTTTAGGCCCTTTAAAAAAAATGTTAATGGAGTGATCAATTCCGAGTGAATAGCTTTTATTGGTGGTAGGTGTCCAGTATTAATTCTATGATGGCATGTTGTTAAATGTCCACGATATATATATTGTTAAACGGGATTTGATATTGAAATAATTCGTGATGTGATTTTAACATTTGAGGTTATTCATGCAATATGTGTAATATTCTATAAAACCTTTTTAATCATTTGTTGATAATTTTTTTTGGATAACATTACTTAAAAATAAAAGTATAGGAGTATAGGTCTTTCTTATGAAGAGGTTTAATCATAAAATAGGCTCAATGCTCCTTTCGAAGGACACAAGAATCAAAATGCCACTCTTTGATAAAAGAAAAAATGCCAAAAGTCACAGCGTGTAATGCTGATCCAGCGGGAGCTAGATTACTTTATCAAAATGAGATTTCGGCACTTTTTTCAACAAAGTGTATCACTTTGTTATTGCTAAAGAATCAAAATAGTATTCATTATTTTTTATTAATAACTTACGAATGACAAAAAAAATTCTTTAAATTTTCTTTTTTGGGTACATTTTTTCTTTAAATTTTCAAAACATTAAATGCTTGTATTTTTTTAATAAAATTTTATTTTTGTCTGAACAGGCATCCATGTTAACAAAAGCCTTTTAAAGAAGTTTTATTAATAAATATCGAAATTAGTTCAGAAACATTTAATATACTTTCGGAATTAATATATATATATATATATATATATATAAATATTTCTGCAGTTAATGCAGATAAATTATCTATATTTACTTCCAAAACGATGTCGTTTTGGGATTGAAATATTAAAAAATTATAATTATAAAGACTATAATAAGTAATAACCTGAAATAATTTAAAATTACAAAAATACCACGATTTTCGCTCCAAAATGACATCGTATTGGGCTGACTACAGATAACTTATCTGCAGTAACGGCAGAAAAAGCGAACTATATATATATATATATATATATATATATATATATATATATATAGGGGTAAACATTTCTACAGCCACCATTTTTAACTATGTTTTTCCGGGAGAACATAGTTATAATATTAAAGTTGCATTTTTTCTTTCTCCTCATTTACTTTTCAAAACTTGTTTGCGCGGAGAGAGAAAAAAAATCAACTTTAGTGTTATAACTATGTTCTCCCGAGAGAACATAATTAAAAGTGGTGGGTGTAGATAACTTTATCTAAAGTGGCTGTAGAAATACTTTTCTCATATATATATATATAATATATATATAATAAATAATTTACTTTTAATTTAACATTTATATTTATTAATACTTCAACTAACTTCTTAAATAAATTTCACAAAATATATATTGAACTAGCTAGTAAGCCAAGGTGTAGCCTCATGTAAACATCACTTTGAAGACAACCTAATATTGACGGATATCGTACCATCAAAACGGAAAATCTGTGACTCGCAATCCAATCATATAAAAGCTTGACACGCATGTTATCAAAAAAAAAAAAAAAAAAGCTTGACACGCATCGAAATATCAGAAAAGGATTCATGTTGTAGAAGTACAAGGTTAGTCTAGTTCTTTGTCCGCATGGATTCTGTTTGTCAAGTGCATATCCACGCAAATAATTCCAAAATACAGTCGCAATACTTCGCAATATACACATTCAAATAAACTACACAATACAAACTTACTAGCTAATTAAATGATCCATGTCGTCCATGTATAATGATAACATTGTTGGTTGGGTGCATATATAAATTTAAAGGGAAAAGGAGCAAAGTCATATTGTTGATATACAAAGCCATTTACAGTCCTAGGGAGGGAAGAGGCTGCTCAGATCTGATCCTACTCTTTCTGAGCCGTTCAGCGATGTTGAAAGCAAGCTCGAGAGATTGTGAAGCATTAAGCCGAGGGTCACTGTGTGACTGTGTGTATGGTAACATGAGCTAAGTGTTGGGTTTGCTCTTTTACTAAAGCCCAAATGGGTTATTAGTATGAGAAGAGCCCAATGAGCTAGGGTTTCTTGGAACCCATATAAATAATACCTCTTAAGTCATCAGCCTCAACGAGGTCTTTTTGTGAGAAAGAGGCAAGCTCAGAATCTAATCAGTGCCCACACACTTCCCCTTCCTCCTCGAGAGATAGTTTGGAAGATCTGCCACAGTCCAGCTTTGTTCGTGCTGCGGCGCTGAGGTGAGCTGTTCGTGAATAGGAATCCTACAAAGGAAGATTCTACACGAGACCTGCGCACCGAGAGGTAATTGTGAAACAAGGATGATTCGGTAAGCATACCAATGTACTAGGTCCTAAACCGCTTCCGCATAAATCTAAGATTTCCTACAATTGGTATCAGAGCCTTGGCTGTACATTGGTATGTGAATCTAGTTTCACTGTTCATGTAATTAGTTTTGCTTCTTAAAATGTGGCACCTAGGGTTCTAGGATTATGGTATGAATCTAGCATGTGTATTTTATAATTCATTTTCATAAAAGTTTAAATTTTAATCGGTAAAAATGCTTTAATCCATGGTTAGGGTCTCTCGTGTATTTCTCGATTTGTAACAAGGAGGCTAATCCCATATGATTAGGTTTCTTCCTTGCTGTTTTTGTTTATTTTTGGAATTTCTGTGTCTTTTTTTCAATATTTTGTAAAAGTTCAAGATCGAGAAATCGCGAGGAAGATGCGCAGTCAGCACTGTCGGAGACTTTTCGAGGACTTACCGATCTTGGAATGGGGCGATCTATATATGGTTGGAAAGAGGACAGAAAGATGAACGCAACGGTGGGTGGATTACCGCCATCGGAGACTCCACACTCCACCACGCGCCTCCACAAGAGGCTGAGAGTGGCCGCCACTCTCCGGAAAGAATGGGAGAGTGAGGGAGCGTCCGGCCACCTTTTTGAGTGGTTCTGGCGGCGGTGCACTCGTCTCTATGTGTCGGTCCTTCCCCTTGAGTTTCGGCCTGATTTGACTTCGGATGACGGCGCGGCAGACTTGACGGCTAGGGTTCCTCTTTCGCGTCTTAGGGTTTCTCGCCAAAGGATTGGGTCTTTAGGCTTTTGGGCCCATGAAACCCTAAAGGGGCTTGAGACAGATACTATGGGCTAGGCGAAAGTTGAATTCCAAAGTTCTAACATTTTTTTTATTTTCTTTAAAATAAGAAGGCCATGGATTAAAGTAATTATGATTTATTATTTAATGCTTTTATTGATTGGTATAAATTATATGATTGATAACATGTTTTATTGCGATAACATGCCATATAGAATATGTGGTGCCATATTGTTGCATAACTTGTATGATTGCATGAACATAATAGCTATTATGTCTTCAGCGACTAGTATGATAGTTATTATGAGATTATTTTGATTTTAAATCATCCTAAGAAATTAATTAATAATTATTATGATTTTTATTAAGAATCTAGATTAATAATTGAATTAATTAATTTTGGATAATTAACATCAAGACAAATAATCGTTATGAAAATTATTTTGATTTCAAATTATCCTCATAAATGATAATTATTATGATTGTTGCAATCTAGATTAATAATTAAGTCAGCTATTTGGATTATTTAAATCTAGAAAAATAATTAGAGAAAATTTCCTAAGAGAATTCTTTTATTTTGCGAGTAATTTGTGGGTTTTCTGAAATGGTCATGGAATAGCACACGCTGCATACAACATTCATGTATCATGATTGTTTGGAGCACACGCTGACGTAAAGTGACCGAATTTCAGGATCTTAATGCTTTCAAAATTATGTTAAGCTTAGTGCACGTTTATCGGCGCTCTTACTTATATAGTTTTTGAAATCAAACAAAGGATACTCTCAATTAAATAATTCTTGGAAATTAGAAAATGTTGCT